GATATAAGTTGTATTAATAGTAGTAGGTGTAGTAATAATAATAATAACAGTAGTAGAGGATTAAGCTTATATTTATGTACTAAGTATTAATGCTTTCATCAAGTTATAAGTTCTAAGTTTCTACAGTTGATTTTTAATTTGTAGTTTAGAATGTTGTTTACCAAGGTTAGAGTTTCTTATAGACCTATTTAAATTAACTAATTGAACAGTAATGAATAAAAGTGAATAAACAGATTTCTTTAATTTACTATTCCATTCAGCTGATCTTGATTATTTTCTCAATTTATGGAATATTCAAAATAATATAGAAGAATAGGCTATATTATGAAAGAGGTGATAAGAAAAAACCGGAAGAAATTCTAAGCAAAGTCTATGTGATGTATAAAGATATGAAACTAATCTAATACATTGATTTCAAAATCTAGACGAGAAGATTATCAGAGAACATTGTTCATCTGTCACATTTTTGATATCCATCCATGATGAATGTTTTTTTCTCGGGACAAATGACTTCTCATTGATGAGAATATAACAATATTTTATGTACTAAGTATGATTTCGTAAATATTAGATCAAATACAAAAATGTTTTTTTATGCTCGTATTTTTCCTTATGGACAAATAAATTCTACATCAAAATGAGGGTTTTTAGACATTGTAATAATTTAATAATTGAATTTATGAGTTGATTAAAGCTAGACCACTATAGAAAATCTGGAAGTACTGGACGACCGTTTTGTTTTAGTAAGGGACTCTTCAGAAATGTGCATCCACGGTTTCAGTGACCAGTGGAGTTCAACCGGGTCTGTTGCAAGGCAGATACTCACTGAAGTTACTCAGTGGACAGTGGCGCAATATTGTGGACTGGTTGAAGTTAGACATTAAAAGAGTTGGACACCAGCTTAGTGTTCCGGAGGTTATGGGTTCACACGCGACACAGAGGGTCCTGGGTTCGAAACCCGCGTATAGAACTGTGGATGCTGAGTTTCGTACTAGGACGAAACAGCCGTCTAGTGTTTCCAGGTTTCCAATAGTGGCATAGGTATAATCAGCTCATGAACTGAACTATTAATTTCTAAATCTTCAATCACTAATTATCTTATCATAAAAAATTTTAAAACTCTCGTGATCATTGTATGATAAGTAGATTTTACTGAGCATTTCAATGAAAGTACCTCTTTGAAAATTCGACATCCGTCCAAAAATATTTAACTAGTTAACTCATACAAAAAAAAGACTTCTGATTTTTTAAAACTCCAAAAGCAAAGTAGAATACAAGATATTTTAAATAAATAACTGTCTTCTACTGTGTATTGTCATCAAGGCTTGACTTGATCATTTCGAATAAATTGAGTATTGGGTAGATTGGTATAAATAAATAATCTATTTATAATATCCCAATGAGTAGAAAAATTAGATTCTTGTTGATCCGTTGTACTAATTAAACTTGTATTCATTTTGATTTGGTTATTTATTCTCTGAAGAAGTGGCTTACACTGAGTCACGAAACATCAGAAAATATAACTTTTCTACTAATTAGAATATTAGAAATATATTATTTATTTATGTCTTCTAATATGTATAGACTTTATTCATTAACCTTATATCCATTAATCAGTCTACTAGCTACAATGTTACATTAAAGTCCTCTGGCAAAATATCGAAATTCAAACAAGACGATTTGTTTGTCAAGTAACATAATAAATTAATATCCTTCATGGAGACTAGACTCAAAACTAAAGAAATAAAGTTGATATACGTCTTATACGTGATTCAAAACTCTGTCAAGGTTAGAAAAAATTTCAGATGTTTTAAAATCGTAACGCATGTAGTAGAGGAAATCATCCATATGGTTACAGAATAGTCGGCCTCTGGAGCCATGATAAAGTCACAAAACCTCTTCCAGCCTCGACCACATAGCTTCAATATTGTTTGTGTTCACTCCGGTTGTTGATTACACAAAATTCCACTTGTGGATAACGACACGATGCGTATAACCAAGCCTATGTAAGAGTGTGTACACTCTCCAATCATCCGTATATATTGTAGTACCTGGCTGCAGACAGTGTTACTGGTGCTTTTATTATCCAGTTCGCAATATATAGGGATTTCATCACGAACTGACATCAGATATAATGCCAGAAATCTATTTAGCCAAATAGATGAAAGAATTTCACGCCAAAATCCATGATCTATTATCTTAAACCCGATTGATTCGTCCACAAATTATAATCTCGCCGTTTTATTTGTTATAGCCGCTCAATTATCATGTTTTGTACAAAATTCCTTGTGAACCGATTGTACGTTAGCATTAAGCACTGAAGTTGGCGCCGTAACCTTGAAATCCCTCAAACACTAGTGATTGGCTCGTCCATAAATTAGAGTCTTGCCGATCTATGAAATAAATTTGATCAGTTGTTTATTTATTTATTTATTTATTTGTTTATATTCTTCCAGTCACATATATTTCATGTTTGATTAATTTTGTCGATCATATTAGAACATGAGAAAATTAACAAAATATACATAGTTGAATACATAAATAAATTTGAAATACAATTTTTTTCCCGTTTTTCAAATCAACCACATTCTCAGTTAAAACAATGTACTCTAGATCATATCTTACAGATAGAAAATAACAAATCACACAAACACGCACACACACACACAACAGACAGATACAGACACATTTTAGATCATTTTTCACAGTTTCATTTGTAATTATTACGTGACATAAAGTTTTCTAACTAAGAATGATGATAGTACTAATAGTAAGTTAATTATTGTTTCATGAAAACTCCATATATATGTATATAGAGACAATACTTTTGGGTATACATTAATTTAAATTAGTATGCACAGTATAGACATATCTAAATAAATAAATAAATAAATAAATAAATAAATAATGATATAAAGTTATTCGAATCCCACCCCCACCCCTTTCTCTCTTTCTCTCCTTCGATATATTTATATACTATCATTTATTATCATTTTTAATTAGTGAAACATTCAGATATTGTTTTTTATTACAACAGAAAGAAAAAAAACACACACACAATAAATTTTAATAAACAAATCCTTAGAGTTTATCAACATTCAAATTGTATTAGGACAAACTTTCATAAATGAATCCTAATTGTTTATATCAACTAGTTTTTTTTTTTTTTAATTCCGCCGTAAATCCATAAAATCTTTACAATCATGTAAAGATTTTAGCCATATTTTTATTATCAAGAAAGATTTTCTGGATATTATAATAATTTTAATAATTGAAATCATGAATGAATTGAAGCATTGGATAGCCAACTCCTGAACAGTGTGCATCCACAATTTCACCTTGCGAGATTCGAACATAGGATCTATCGGGTCTCGTGAGCGAGCGCTCAACCACTAGACTACTCAGCTAGCATCCAACGATGTTAATGTCTAACTTCAACTAATCCACGAAATTGAGCGACACATCCATCATTGTCATCAGTGAGTTACTATTTCACAACAGACCCAGTTGAAATTCACTGTTCATTGATTTTCATTAGAACTCCAGGAAATACCTCTTGAAGTTAGTGACTAGTGAGCATATGTTGATTACTATCAGGAGTTTTGTTACCTTATCATCAATTGAATAAACTATTTTGTTTTATTTCTCGGTAGAGTTGAATAGAGTTTAACAATGAAATACATGTGTTTTCTTTGTCATGTTTGTGATTTATCGGATGTATGTAATAGTATTTCAGTATTATTGTTGAACCCTAAACTAAAGCTCAGTGTTTTTCACTTTAAATGCTCAAAGTATTATCTAATTAGCCACTAAGATCACATTGCAACTGATCAGTGAATTTGAATTCACTTTTTATTGAACTAGTCAGTGTCTATTTAGACTAAGTAGCTAAAAGATCTATGAGTTGGGATTTAAAGCAATAGCCACCGAGTTTGAGTCACGGTATGGATATCAACAATGGAATATAAGTACACTCAGCTAACAAGTCACAAGTATGACGCGTTTCTTGTCCTGGATTGTAATGCTAATCACTATAAAATTCTTGTGACTTAAGAGTAATATTGTTGTGATTCGCTTACAATGCATACATACTAGAAGAGAGATTGATTAATTGCGGTCATTAACATCAACATCTATAGAACATGTCCCATTCAAATTAATGGATAAAGGTTTATGTCTTCACTGATGAACGTATTTATTTTTAATGTACTCACAACTTGATCACTACTCAATTGAAATTTTTTTAACCATATGCATGTGATAATTCGAAAATATTAATTGCATCAGTCCGTCAATCAGTGAGCTATAACGTAGGATTAGGTACATATATGCATCGGTCGAAGTTGCCATTACCTCAGTAGCAAAGTAAGGTGAACACCGAATTCATAGAAGCAGTTAATTCAATGGTGGTAATATATAAAAGGAAGAAATAATTAGTTCGTTGAAGTTAAGGTATAATGTAATTTTCACCTCACGGTTTAAGGAAAGACAGAGAGCGTATACACTGACACAATTGTGATCAATTCTGAGCCATGTCACACACAGTCCCCAATCATTGGTTACGATAGTCGTGCAAACTTCAAACAAGTAGTCTGCATCCACCAACATGACTCAAACTAGAAGTTAGTAACTTTAATGATTAATGCCACGTTTTGATTTGACCACACCCCATAACTTTCTTTTAACCATCCTTAAACACTAGTTAGTATTACGTGTCATGATAATCAATGTTCAGGTATATGTAATATATAGCTCAACCATCTCAGTTGATGAATATTCACAACCTCACTGACTGATTTACCATCATCATTCCCTAATATCCTACTTCTAACATCACTATTACATCCCTGATGATCTTAGCAGCTGCGAGTAATATTTCTATGGCTGGTTACTACTTTCAGCTTATGTATATCTTTTAATTTCATAAATGTAATAGATATACCAAAAACAAAACAAAACAAAGAAACCCTCCCCCTTTCATTACTCATCATCAAACTTACCCAAGAACACCATGCTAATTGTTTACATATACGAAATATACAAGTAAATTTTAATTCATGTATTCTATATCCAATTTCATTTAATTTTTGTTTATATATATCATCAAATAAATTCATTTGTTTATCAATTAATTTTATTGGTTTATTAGGAGTAATTGTAACATTTTTATTTTTATTTATTTTTTCTATATTTGGTTTTATCACTTTTATTGTTTTATTCATTGATTGTGTTTTATCTAAATCAATTATTGATTGTTTATTTAAATAAAGATAAAATAAACCAGTTTGTAATTGATGTAAATTATTATTATTATTATTGTTATTAGGCTGAAATATGAATACTTTTTCATTGTCATATTGATTCATTTGAAAATTAAATCCAATAATTGATTGATTGTTTAAATTTGATTTAAACATTGGACAACTTAAATAAAATAGGATATGAAACATTTGAACAAAACAATAAAAAAAGAATATCAGTATAGGGTTGTGGAGATTATTAAGTTATTGATTGAGATCTGGAACTGATTGATGTTGGACTACAATTGAAAACCTGGAAGTAGTGGAGTTATCCGTGGATTGGTTGAAGTTGGACATTAACACTATTGGACGCCGGCTGGCTCAGTGGTCAAGTAGGTTAAGTGTTTGCGCGTGAGACTGAAGGCCCTAGGTTGGAATCCTGTGAGTGGAATCGTGGATGCACACTGCTGAGAAAACCCACAATAAGACGAAATAGACGTCTAGTACTTCCAGGTTTTCAATGGTGGTCCAACATCAATCGATTCAAGATCTCAATCAATGAAAAAAAAAAAGAAAAAAAGAACAAACAAATAATGACAAAAGAAATTCTTATGAAATAGTTGTTACGTCTTGGTGAAGATTAAATTACAAATATTTATTTGATCATTAGTTTAGTTTGTGTTTATATTTCTTTTGCATTACTGAATTGTTAAATCACCCTTACACTTATACATTTTCAATTATTTCATTCTCTTAAATTATGTGATCACTTTAAATTCTATTCAATTATTACGTAATCCATCTTATCAGTTTTTAATTTTATGAATCTTTCATTACCTCTAAAATTATCACAGAATTTATCTTATCTGTCTTTGGACTACAATCAACTATTACATTATACATCCTTAATGTTTCCTTGATTGTAACACCAAATAACCTCTGACTTATTCTTGTATTCAATTATGTCAATTGTTTTATACTATTTCTTACCTCAATGTAAAATTCTAATACATATTTGGTTGTAAGCAGCTGATGAGAAACCATAAAATACAACGAACTCATATTATTCTTCATCTGTATTTAGTCTGATTTTATTTAAATTCATAAAGGGAATTAATTGCATGAATAAGAACTGGAAAGAGCTGGAAAGTATTGCTCAGGACAATGTTGAATGGAAAGTGCTGGTAGTCGGCCTATGTTCGTCCACGAAGGGTAACAGGCGTAAGTCAGTAAGTTGTTGTATCCTAGCGAAGATTAAATTACGAGTATTTATTTGGTCATTAGTTTTTTTTTGTTAATGTTTAGTTTGTGTTATATTTCTTTTGCGCTACGGAATTCTTAAAACAGCCTAACACTTTTACATTTCAATTCATTTGGTTCTCTTAAATTATGTGAACTCTTCAAATTCTATTCATTTATTGCGTAACTTATCAGTTTTTAATTCCATAAATCTTATGTAAACCCTTCATTACCATTAAAATTACCATACAATTCATCTTATCTGCCTCTGAACTCCACTGTATTATTGATAACCAGTGTCATTCCAATTCTTTATATATATATATATATATATATATATATATATATATATATATATATATATATATATTGTATAACTATTCAGTAACTAGATTGTCTATATTTATAATCATCTTATTATAAGCTTCATTTCGACCTAAAGATTATTATTATTACGATTTACTGTTCTTAAATTATGTTCGGTTTATTGATTACAGTCTCTCACGTTCACAACCACATTTTGGCTTGATCTTGTATAAATGTTATTTCCTAATATATGGTGTAACGCGGTCTATTTGTCTTGTATATAAACTAAGTATGTTTGAAATAAGTGCTTCGCATAGTGGAAGCTGTTATCAGTGTTCTGGACCTAACAGGTAGGGCTAAGTGAACAAAGGACCGATAAGGATGCTAGGTTGCTCATACCAGTCGAACGACATTGTTTTAGCACAGTAATAAGATTGAATAAGTCGTATTTCAATTGGCAAATAAATCAAGTGATAACTAGCCGGCCTTAAAGTCACAACAAAAGCAAAAAAACGAACAAACAAAAAAAGAAAGAAAAAAACTCGTTAAGCAGTTTAATAGATCAAATCAATTCATGTATTTGGATTTGCGTTAGTTTCACTCAGTGATGACATAGTAGACTAATTCTGAACATATGAAATCCTTCTTTAAATACTCAACAAATTATATGATAAGGAAATTTATTAAGTGTATGATAGTTAGTTTTAATAGTGGAATTCCAGTCAGAATACCAAGAGATGCTATCTAGATCTCTATTGGCTTATAAAGAGTAAGCTCAATAATAAAATGCATTAGCAGTTCAGAGAACAAATAAGGGAAAATAACCTAGAAGATTGATATAGTTATGAATGGAAATTGTTTAACGCAGCTCTGAGATCAGAGATATGGTATACTTTTCTGATAGAGCCTTCTAGAATATCAACGTGGCGTGCTGCGTTTGGACAATAGCATAACTTGCATCCTTGCTGATTGGCTGAATCATAATGATGTTATAACCAATACTAATAACTATAAATACCCATGTTTTTCTGTACATTTCTAATTCTTACCCAATAATCACTTCACCTACTTCTTCCGTCTTCTGACTCGTGGCTGTGGGATTATACACTTCCAAGTGCCGTTAGTTGTATATCATATTCTGCCATAATTATTTAAAAGATGTAAAATACTTTTCAAAAATGTCAATAAATTTCTAACTTCAAGAGTAAAAACACTTCCTATTAACGGTAAGCGTCATCCAAAAATTATTGTCAAAGGTTCAAAGATCCTAGATTTGTTCAGTGAACTTATGACTTGTAAACAAATGTTGATTATTCAAAAAGTATGCTTGTGTAGTAAAATTTCATTAATCTTTATGTGATCAGAATGAATGAAGCTTGATAGTCAGATCCCAAAAAACTAAAACCAATATAAAATAATTCAGTGCATTACAGGATTAAACAAATAGCTTTAAAACCATGCCTGACCTGGTCCGTGATTATTTGTTCTTAAAGGCATTGCTAAATCCATTTGTCCTTGTATCCATGTTGACTGTCTTATTTACTCAATTTCTAACTATGTAAACAATTGAGATTTTACGTATAATTTGGTAGATCGTGACATGTATGTTGAGTGTCCATCGGTTTGAATGCCATGCAACAAGAAAATTGTACCTAATTTATGTTTATTGTTTAGCTTTTCCTAGTAATATTTCCCTAGAAATGAATACTGACAATTCACTAACCGTTCACTCTGTCATATCAATTTATTCATGCAATCGAAAGCATTCTGTCACTAATTTAGTATGAATAAATATACATCAATTGTCCGTAAACCAACACGTCTAAGAACACCAATTACACATTCACAACCTAAACAACACTCATTATCCATCTGTAGTATATAAGAACATACATATCTAATCAGTTCACGAGTTTTACACCTAACGTCTATCCGGATATCATTGTATCAAAACTTTGCATTTGACTCCATTTGTGAAACACTTAGAGGTTGTCAACTAGTAATGTCACATTTATATCTCTACATATCTCTTTGTCTTTTTATATATGGACATACATATATATACTGATTTACATACCCTTTGTATAATAAAAGAGTTTCCTTGGAATCTTCATTTCTTTGACCAGATTTTATCCTGTCTATCATATAACATTCTTCAACAGTAATAGCTTTGTAAACATCTATAAAATTAAATGATGGAGATAAAATAAATATTCAGTTCTAATTATTAGACAAATAAACAATTGAAGTTAACAAGTATATTATTAAATAAGGTTATGTAATATAAGATACAATAACATTAAGTACAGTAAGTGTTCGCGCGCGTGACTGAAGGCCCTAGGTTCAAATCCCGTGGGCGGGATCGCGGATGCGCACTGCTGAGGAGTCCCACAATAGGATGAAGCGGCCGTCCAGTGCTTCCAGGTTTTTCATGGTGGTCTAGCTTCAATTGGCTCATGATCTCAACCATTGAAATAGGGATTTTGTTTGTTTGTTTTGTTTTCAGCCAAAAATTTTCATAGACACAACTTCTTAATTAATCAAGTATTATTCAAATAATAGTGACCAGATGTCCAGAACACGATTATCTGCATTCATTAATCATACTGTCTACTATATAATAAGTAGATTCAAGAGTTTCCATAACAAAAATACAATTTAGTTAATTAGATTATTTTAAGACATTGTTAAACCTTAGTGTTAAAACATTTTGTAAATATCATTGAAACTACAGACAAACCATTGGGATGAATGGTGTTCGGTCAACTCCTTTCAACTACAGAACTACCCTAAACTGTTGATCATTACTGAACGATTGTTAAAAATAATAACATTCATTTAAATGAAGTCATCAAATTTTAAGATGGATCTAAGATGATCAGAAACAAACATTTATTTCATTAAAACACCTTTCTTTTAAGACATTTATTCATATAAAAAGTTCTCATGGCTGCTCTCCAGGATCATGAGAACTAATCGATTCATACAATAGACTTCTTAAACAAATTTAAATTGAGTGAAAACAATTAATTTTAAATAAGTCCTGATAGTAACTAGAACTGGAATCTAAAAACTTCATTTCATTCTATTTGGAGCTTGTCAGATAGATTCACCTTATAAGTCAAACACAGTACCTTTCACTTTAAATATCTGAAGAGTTATTTATTGAGGTACTTAATCCGAACAATCACTAAATTGTGCAACATGGATCAGTTGTTTTACCAGCTATCAATTTTACTACAAAATGTTAACATTCTTATGAAATTAAAGTAATGAATTGTTCGTTAGAAAATAACTAATTTCATTACAATCATGAACCAATCAATGTCAGATCACCACTGAACACCTGAAAACACCGGACAACCGTTTCGTTTTAGTTCCCATCCACGAGCCTGTACTTGGAAATTGACCTTAGGACCTTCGATATCGTGCACTAACGCTTTAGCTCTAGACCAATGAGCCGGTATTCAGTGGAGTACTTGTTTAATTTTAATCAATCAACAATGTTATGCAATCATCTTCCATTGTCTTTTGATGACAATGGAATTTGTAATCATGGCTGACAAAAAACCATTGTAACTGAAATAATACTTTTAGAATATTGGAAATAAACTGATAACGATTCATTAAGAAAAACATGAAGTTAATTAATGAAAATTAGTTCAACATGGTTTCACTGAAGGATTTAAAAAGGAAGATTAATTGCACTTCATTTCTGTTATTAAGGTCAATGACAGTAAACCATTGACATAATTTTAGATAGAAAAGTTAGCTTTAGTCATTCTAATTGTTGTGGCCTCTACAAATCTAAATATAGCAGAGTAATACTGTTTGCGAATTATTTCAAATAGCTTTATTTTATCCATCTGTAGCCTCATGTAGACAACTTTTAACTGTGGATGGTTCAATGATGACATCTCTTTGGATCGAATTCATTATTAATGTATAGTTAATATATGTATAGTTTGTTTAGGAAAAAAATCTATTGAAATCACTTATTTACAGCTTGATCCTGTATAAAATGTGCATGGATAATAAATGTGATCTCATTATATTCTAAAGACTTCCAACAATTATCACCTGGAAATTAACTTCTGAAGTAAGAGACAGATTTTACATACGCTATCTTGATAGTAAAATGATGAGAATCACTGAACGATTCCATCTAGAAAATTACTAGGAACTAGGATTGTGATTGGATAGATATTTCGCCTTAATATAGGATTCCCCCAAGGATGTATATAGATGTTATGTCCCGATAAGCATAATGAATGGTAACTGTTGGAATCTATTTCTGGTCTAATACTATACGTATATTTTTATCGTATAATTGTTATGTAACTAAACTATTCATATTCATGTCCCTCTTATTATGAGTTTTATTTTCACCTAGAACTATTATTATACGATATACCATTTTTGAGTTATGGCCTGCCTATTAATTACTATCTCCCTCATTCACAGCCACATTTGGCTAATTCTTGTACAAATGCTTTTTTCCTATTTTATGGTACGATGTAGTCTGTCTGGTTGGTATGTTTGAAGTAAATGATTCATATTGCAGAGGCTGAGATTGATGTTCTGGACTTAACTGGCAGGGCTAGGCGGAAAGTAGGACCAATAAGGACTCTAGACTGCTCGCATGTGTTTCATGCGTCACTGGTTCGGTCGGTAACTCACTGCTTTCTAATTGGCGGTATCATTACATATACATTAACAGGACACACATGTCACAAGTTATAACAATAAACCGACCACCAGAGATAAAATTCAGAACATTTATATCTCGTATCTGGTGTTTAACCATCAAACTGCTGATTAACCACCATGTAGTTTAAATGTCTAATTTCAATCAATTGAATTGATATAAACTATCCTCACCAACCCTTGTACTGATTAACAAGAAATTGTCCGATAATGTTTTTAATCTATTGCTAACTAGTTACTAACTGATTACTAATTATGAAAGCTTCATTTGACTATTTCAGTAATCATATTCTCTTCATTGATGTAAGCGTTTGCGAACAGTTATATTTTCTTAACAATATTTTATAATATTTATAAAAAAATAAGTTTCTTCCAACAACTTTTTTTTCTTACATTTGAATACTTAAAAAGTTAGCGGTATTATTGAGAAGAAATCTCCAGAGAAAAAAGACATTCACAATCTCTATGACAATTATTATTATTATCAGTCAATAATCAGTTGTATTTTTGAAATTTGTTTGGTCGCCTACATGACATGTACATAGTAACATGGAGAAAATAAAGCAAACTGAACTTCAAGGTATATACTAAAAGTTACATTATATATATAGACCAAATTATATGAAATAGCTTAGAAAGTAAAACAAACATAATTCTCATGATCGATTTGAACAATACTGATACAGTGGAATGAGTTTTAAAATGATAAGATTTCTATTTTGAGAATTAGCCTTTAGTGTTTGACATCAATTAGATTGTACAATGTTGTCGATGGGTTCTCCACTTTAGTGGCCCAGATTCTAACTCCAATTAGATCGTATGAATGATTGTTATTGAATGATCGCTGTCAAAGTATATACATCACAATTGATTGATCACTGGGTGACAAATGTCATGCGTGTCTAGTCCTTATTATTAGAGCAGATCGAATGCTATCGATCATGTTGTAATGTGGCCACCAGTCTAGGTGACTCGACACCGCGGGCACTATTGTAAGATTCGATGGTATTTGGAGGTAGTCGACAGGAAACTCTGGACCCGGGTTTCGTGCTACTTGGCACTCGTCAGCAAGGTGTACCTGTAATCTTTGAGGGAACTGGTGCTCCCTGGCGGATTCGTTCCCGTGTCACCGTGTCGCGGCCCGGATAGCTCAGTGGTAACGTCTCTGACTGTGAAGCTGGGTGACACGGGATCGAATCCGCCAGGGAGCACCAGTTCCCTCAAAGATTACAGGTACACCTTGCTGACGAGTGCCAAGTAGCACGAAACCCGGGTCCAGGGTATCCTGTCGACTACCTCCAACCACCATCGAATTATATACATTGTCTATCCTCGTATATGATCATCGACTTAAATAGCGTTAGTTAATAACGGAACTAAATAAGTCAAATAACGAGAATAGACTTTTGAATACATATATTTTGTATATGAAGCGAACAGAATAGAGCGAAGCCAAATGACGCGCAGTGGAGATGGCGGGTAAGTCAATTCCATTTAGTCAAGCGTTAGTCACTATTTGTAGTCACATAAAAATAAGTTACAGACATGTGATGAATAGGATAAGAAGTGTACACACACATATGCGCTCATGTATAAAACAGTCAAGATTGATAAGCAAATAATTAACTAGGTCAAAATATGACTCAAGTAGAATGGCTAGATTGGTCTGTCCGAAAGCTAGAATAAGGTATAGTGGGTAAACATAATAACCGACACTACAAGCCTTTACATGGATTGAATGAAGTGAATGCATTTATGTGAACAATATATGTTTTAGTTTTAAGTAACTAAGATTTATAAAAAATATTAACTTTAAATGGAATAATCTGAACAGATATACATACTAAAGTTGACGGGTGATGTTGTCTAATGTTGGAATAAGCTACCAGAATGCTAGAAGTGTCCAAGCCAAGATATCGTACCAGTTCATGGTGTCAATGATAATTAAATATCAGTAGGTGGAATCTACCTTGTTTGAGTTATCGTAACTGATTATTAGAAACTTTGAGTGACATTACCCAAAATCATTCACAACGACTTGAGTAAAATAACTCTTAGCTCTGCTTAAGATCCCAAGTTTCTATGTCAACGTTTTTTTCTATTCCAGGAATCTGTATTTTCTTCTCGAATCATCCCTAACTTTTTGTTTACTACTACTGACACTGTGATAACTTCAACTAAACGGGAATTTATCTTCATAGTTTCATCTTACTGTGTTAATATAGCGTTACAAATTGAACTTGTGTGTACGATGGTGGTTGGAGGTAGTCAGCAGGAAACCCTGGACCCGGGTTTTGTGCTACTTGACACTCATCAGCAAGGTGTACCTGTAATCTTGAGGGGATTGGTGCACCATGGCAGATTCGATCGCGTGTCACCCAGCTTCACAGTCAGAGACGTTACCTCTGAGCTATCCGGGCCGCGACCGACCTCTTGTAGAACTGAAATGTAATCACCACCCAGTGATCAATCAATTGTGAACTTGTGTATATTTTACTGAATGAATGACAGAGAATTTTAAGAATCTTCTTTTTATGTAAACAAATTTGTTCGTACTAAATATATTTATGAAATAATTTGACAGGTTATGTAGAATTTTTATCTCTACTTACAGTTTACACCTTGAATTAATATGAACTGGATGACAAAAACCTACTATCCATGGTGGATAAAAAAAAGAATGATCATTATGTTAGTTACAAACATCTTAAAACCTGATATAAATATGGATACATCGAAACTCTTAAAAGTACAAAAACAAAATCAAAGATAAAAGAGAGGAAGTGACAATAATGGAAAAACTAAACACACACACACACACAAAGAAAAACGTAATTCAATTTGAAATAGTTTAGATTATCCTGTTGTGAATATGTTTGATTAAAATTTTATCACTTTTATTTGACATATTTACATCCTGTGTAGATTGTTTTGATATAATACAAAATGGAAATTCACTATCAGTAGAATCCAAAACGTGTCTTTCCTCCTATTTGAAACTTGTTAACTGGATATAACTACATTCCAAATGTGATGTTCAATCCGTGACTGGAGCTCACCATATTATCCACCAAGTGACGTTTAAAGCGAACAGTACTTAGTTCGAGCTCTGAAGCGGACATCAACAATACGGTATAAATATATCCAGTTACAAATTCTCAACTAGTTAACTACACACCATTTATTCTGCATGAAGAATGTAGTTTAAAAATAACGAATAATATCAATTTGTAAATAGGATCAAATCATATTAAAAGTTGAAATCTATGATGAAATAATAGCACCAATACAAGCCCTCAATCGTTGATTAGAACGGTCACACAATTTGAAAAACGACTTACATGCGTAGGTCTTGTTTCTTGAAAAGAACATATTAACTATTCGGTGATCTTTCTAACTGAATGAATAAGTATCCTAAATACTTACATTAAGATCCTTCTTGAAAACTTTGACTATCTATGTATAAGTAAGTACATTCATGATGATATAGTAATATAGTATAGTTATTAACATACAAATTAAACGATAAAATAAGATTTTCTAACGATAGTTAATCATATATAATAACAAATTTAGTTCATATGTACTTACTTCGTTCATCAATCAATTCAGCTTCAAATCTAATTGGTGTTGACTCTAATATTGTATGTACTGTTTGTCCATTTTCATCTTTCACAGTGAATTTAACATCAAGTTTAGGCCATGGTGAATCATCAAATAGATCTTGTCTATTAACTTTAATATTTCTGTTATCATTTGAAAACATAAAATTTAAAAATAAATAAACAATGAAGTCAATCAAATGTAAATTAGTGAATTAGTAGTAGATCTAATAGATTTTTATCAGTATAGGGTTTTGTATAGATAGTAGAATTTTAGTAGTTTAAATCCCTAACTGATCTTAGTTAGACCACCATTGTAAATCAGGAAGTACTGAACAGATGTCTTATCCTATGATGAAACAACTCAATAGGGGATAGTAACAACCCAGCCAAGTGAAATCGAATCTATGAACTTCATTCTTGTGCAATCAATAATCGAGAGATTAAGCATTCACGCACAAGACAGTACTTCTGTAGTTCGATTTCTTGTAGTTGGATGATGTGTACTCAATGCTGAAGAGCTCCATACTTAAAAGAAACACTTATTTAGTGCTTCTGTGTTCTCAATGGTGACCTAAATGATGTCCGTTCATGATAGAAACTATGGTAATGGAGTTTTTCAAAAATCTCTAGTAGTAAAAGTAAATGAATTGCTGTCATAGTATAAATGTCAGAGAATGAATTATTAATTAATTATAGAATGAGTTCGAGATGTAGTTTACATATTTCAATCAATTAAAATGCTAATGTCATATGTTTTCTAGTATGAATACTTAGGTAGTTGATGGACAAAAAATAATCAACTTCTATTTCAGAAAAAAAAATACATCATTGAATAAATCAATAAGTGAACTAATGTTTGGTTAAAAAGTATATAGCTAAAGTCATAAAATACTGAAGTCAGTCCAAGATGAATATTATTTTCAAAGTTTAGTTTGAACATATCTCATTAACATTTTGTTATGAAGGGTTTCTTGTATATTGGTTTAATTTGTAAGTTGTAAGGTCGACATCAACTGAAGTATCGTTGAAGATCAAAGAACAATAAACGGCTGTTTAATTCTAGTATAAAATTAATCAGAATTAAACACCTATGACTCATTTAGAGGTTGAACTTAGGATTTTTAGGTCTCCTAGTGAATTCTTGTTCAACTTTAATTACTTACCAACAACTTGTAATCGTTAATGAAAATAAACAAATGTAGCTAAATCAAAATGATATTGAAAAAATCAAACATATGCATTAGATCTTTACTTTGTTATCGTTTTATCCATTCTTATCAACTACCTTTGATTCAAATGACAAAATAACGTGATTGGACATAAATATTGTTTTGTTGGTTTTTAGTAAACAAATGACTTAAATCAATGTCATGAGCTCAAGAAGATTACGGATTTGTTTCCAGGTCATTTGTATTATGTGTATATGATGGTTACTAATAATGTAGTTAAACCTAACAATGTTTTTAAACCAACGAATAATTCGTGAATCTGTAGTGACCTACTTTTATCAACAGAACGCGATTGGTGTAATGGAAACAACTACTATTATAACCAATTCTACCAGTGATTGTTTTACTGTACTTGTTTGTTTCGCTGTACTAAAGACATTCCACCTTCCGTTGATTGTGACCTTGCACGCGCTTACGTTTGCTCAGTGATTCCACTTGTACTCCTTTGGCACGATCTTGGTATTCTTTCGATACCAGGGGATCACCAACAAATACATCGTGACTTCTGATATTTGGTCTACGGGTGGATCTAACCTGTTAACTAGCACGTAGTCTTCTTGTAGTGGTGATCATAGTCAACCGCAACTCGACGCCACACTACAAATCTAATCAGAGGATCGCTACTATGAAATGATATAGAGAAAAAATATGCTGATGCCTCTGCATGAAAATTGATTGGATCTAATGTCAATTTGATAGTCCGAATCTAACGTACTTATTAGTTCTAGATTTATCTCTTAATGAGTAGCTATTGTTCGTTACAGAGAAGTCCTGTTTCAGCTGTTTAGCAACGTGGTACACTTTATTTCCAAATTTTTGTCTAATTGAAGTCATCCTGTAATTAAAATGTACCTTATTAGATTTATAATTCTGAAACCAAAATAGTACTTTTCCAGGTGATCAAGTCATTCACCGGAATAAATAGTTTGCTAATTATTCAAAAATGCCCACTAATTTTCACAAGTACTAAATGACTAAGTGATAACTAGTTCAATAGGTTCAGTCTAATATATATGCTGAGAACGAAACAACTGTCCAGTGCTTCCAGGTTTTCCATAGTGGTCTAACTTCAATTGACTCATGATCTAAACTATTGAAATAAATATATATTACTCAATTTGTTTGATTTAGTATCTTACATTCATTAATATAACTAATCAAATGAAAGCTATAAGTTCCCGAAATTACTATACAAACTTATATAATACACTAGCATAAATCAGTCATTCAACAAAATAGAACACAGTGAATAAAATTCATGATAATTCGAATATTCCATCATAATTTGATCTCATTATCACAGAATGATTCGACTTATGACAACAGAATAGAACAAAATAAATATATTTATCATTTGCTAGGTCTGAAAATATACATCTGTACATGGGGTCCTAATAAACATCAGTCCTCTAAACATAAGGAATACTGAAATATTTTTAAAATGTATAATAAACAATCATCTCGTATAGTTTCCTATGTATAGAGTTAACGTTTAATTATCATTTTGTCTACTAAGTTGATCGTGAATGAACTGTTAATTTTTGTTTGTTTTACAAATGTTTTCACTTAAACAAATCGATTAGAAAGAGAATTTTGTGGATATTATAGTAATTTAATGGTTGAATTCATGAGTCAATTAAAACTAGACCATCATGAAAAACCTGGAACCACTAGATGGCCGTTTCGTCTTAGTATGAGACTCCTCAGCAGTGGGTTTTAACCTCGTGGGTGTGGTCGTGGATACACACATCTAAGGAAACCCATACTAAGAAGAAATGAATGCCTAGTGATTCTAGGTTTTTCATGTAAGTCTAGCTTCAATTGACTCATGAATTCACCCGTTAAATCAATTAGAGTTTATGATTTCTTTTAAAAAAAACAAACACATCTAGGAAAATAATAATTTGGAAGTAATAAACTTTCAATATTTTTTGGTCTATGTCAACCCTTAACATCAAAGAAATTGTATTGATAGTATTTCATAACATCAAGATTTATCTAGATGAAATGGTCATTTTAGAAATTTCTTGAAATCTTTAAACATAATTTCTGTATACAAACAAAAAAAAACCCATTTAGAACTAAAACTATGCCTGTGAGTTATGAGATTTCATTGCTAGTTCGTTTGAATGTTTTCAATAATGGATATTGTAAAGTATTCGATTGTATGTAGTACGGCTATAATCAGCATGCTAACGAGTGCCGTACAGAATGATACATATGTCTTAAATTCTACTATCAGCTGAAATCCATCAATTTTGAAAATCCTATGATAGAATATTAATATGAAAGCAATCTTCTAATGATGTAAATTAAACAATAAAAACTGATGAAGGTCCAGTCATGAATGTCATCTACGGGATAATTCAAATCCTTATTAACGACTATATAAACGTTGTATCTACTTAACAAGTTGGTGGCTATTTAGATTCAGTTGCTCAATATAAATTTTGTTGCAATTCAAAAGTTATTTGGTCTGAGTCCCAATTCGAATATCAATACTATTGTAAAATCAGTTAATGAGCTCAGAATAGGATGAAACGTATATGCTGGATTTCAATCCTTAACCGTAATCTATTTATTCTGTATTGTTTAAGTAATATGTATGTATGAAAGAATTTTTATCAGTAAATATATAGTACTTATAATGCTAGATACTTCAGTTTTTAGAACACCCTTTGATGCTTTGAAAAAAAATGCTTAATGGTAGTTATAAGTAAAGTCCACAATGTACTATTCATTTTTTAAGATTATATTAGATTGATATCCCTTCATTCCGGTGGATAATGATGTTATAAATATGATTTTGAGCTATCAACTCACTGTTTCAGACAACCATTTCGTCCACGAAGGTTTAATAACATTTTTTTATGATAGATAATATATATGGCATCCTGATTATTATTCTTAAATGATCCTTCATCTATATATCGAAAAATTTGCTTAACCAGTCGTTTGTAAACTACCTATAATCTTAGAAACTATTCAGACTAAGAAGAACCTGTACTCAAATGAATAAACTCGAATACCAAAACATTTCCCCCCCCCCAAAAAAAGATTGAAGAATCATATAAAAACCCTGCACATCTTTTCTAGTTTTGTTGTAAATTTAGCTAAATGCTACTAAGTTAACATGTTTGTATTTTCATTACCTCGAGTCCCTTAAAAGAATTTTAAGTTCACTTTCAGATTATTTTCTGGTTAGTTATGTAGCGAAGATACCAATCCATATTTTGTCTACCTAATATCAGAGAATCGGTATTTTGTATATTATATTGTGATGTGTGTTACTGATGTCCACAAATATATAAGTAATATGTATCATCAATCAAAAATGGAATACCTAGAGATAGGTTAAGAAGATAGAAGAAAAGAGAACGAGAAAAGTAAGTTGTTGCTGTGGAAACGAAAGAAGAATGAAGCCTGAGACAATTGAATGACATTGTGCAAATGAACTATTTACTGTATGAATCTCAGATTTTACTACGAGATTCTGTAATTTTGTATTCAAACAAATTCGCTTGTTCTTACTTGTGTTCTCGTTCACTACAATATGTTTTAATTCAAATTATTAACAGTAAATAAAATATCTGTTAATCATATTTATCACAATCACAATCACATGTGTTCATATGAATTAAAACAAATAAAAATCAAGTTTCTATTCTGACTTAAATTAACTTGACTTGACGTTTATACTTTTAATGGAGTTTTGTTCTCTGGGCTGAATAATTTGGTCGTGTTCTGTATTGTTCATCCGTTATCATTAGGTGTATCATTTTTTTCCACTTTGCTCAGCTATTTTCCATCCTAATGGGCAATCGATTGGAGGTCTATATCTTACACTTGTTGGTAGAACATGCTGGTGAAGATAATCGTGGAGAAAATACAGTTGTTTTCGAGTAGAAGCCT